AAAAAATCAGACCCTCCCAAATCCAAAGACCCAATCCAAAAATGGGCATCTGAATACACACTTCTCAGATGAAGAAATACAAATGGCAAATAAATATATGAAATTTAATATCACTGGTCATTCAAGGGATGCAAATTAAAACATCAAGATTCCATCTCACTCCAGAAAAAATGGTTATTATCAACAAATCAACCAATAGCAAAAGCTGGAGGGGCTGTGGGGAAAAAGGAACCCTTCTCCATTGTTGGTGGGATTGTAGACTGGTGCAACCACTATGGAAATGAGTGTGCTGACTCCTCAAAAAACTAAAACTGGCAGCTCCACTCAACTCAGCTATTTCCTGTCTTGTTATCTGCCCGAATGAATTAAAAGCACCACACCACAGCAATATATGCATACTCATGTTTATAGCAGTACCGTTTGTAATAGCTGCATCTTGCCAACAACCCAAATTCCCATCAACATATGAATGGATAAAGAAGATGTGGGGGTTTTTTATACAATGTAGTATTAGCCGTAAAGAATGATAAACTTGGGACATTTCTAGCTAAATGTATGGATCTTGAGACCACACTCAAGGGAAATGTATCAAACACATTTGTAAACATTGCATTGTTTCTCTGGTGTAAGAAACCCAAAGTGCATATAAAGACCAAAACATGTAATAGATATTGTGAAGTAAGGAAAAACTGTTCAAATGGGAAGAGGAAACACAGAGAAGGGAAGGAGGGGAAGGAAAAGAATGGAAACAGCTTTTTTAAATAAGGAGGGGAAGAGCGACTGAAGGGAGGGCAGGGGGAAAAAGAATAAAGATATATCATGTATGGGTATAAATTCTCTTATCATGAATGTGATCAGTATGTGTATCTGTACGTACCAATACAATCTGATTTAAAAAAAAAAAAAAAAAACTAGCCTCATACATAGGTAGTTGGGGAGGAGGGACTTCTTAGATACTAGGGAGGGACTTGAAAACCCCAGGTAAGACTTTAAGAACCACAGTTCTAAACACACACTAGCCAGCCCCCTGATGCTGAAGTCGGCCACATGCCTAGCTCAGGCCAAAAGGAACATGGGTAGGGGTGGCAGTGAAGCTCGGAGCCTTCTTTCACTCAGCTGTCACAACTGTGACATGCCTGAGCCTGGAAGAGAGGCCTATGAAGCAGAGCCCTGCTGTACCCCAAGTCCAGAACCAACCAGCCAAGCCAGGTGCATGAGAAACACTGTTCCCTACACATCATGGACTCTGGGGACACTTGTTATGCACCAAAAGCTGACTGATAACAAAGAATTCGTGATTATAAAATAATACCACTCAGCTCACAGAAATGTTGAGCCGCAGGGGAAACAGGAGTAAGCACGGCATTAACCAATTCGATCAAGTATAATTTCCTTCTTTCATTTCCTACACCAGTGTTGAACTTCATGTCCTTGAATAAAGAAACTGTCTCCTAACATGAAACACAAATTCTCAGTGGGTGTGTAGCACACACCTGTGAGGCAGGAGGATGGTGAGTTCAAGCCAGTCTGGGCAATTCAAAGGAGACTTAGGGAGACCCTATCTCAACATAAAAATTGAAATAAAAAATGGCTGGGGTCAAAGGGCAGCACAGGTCACGCAGCTCAGTGCAAAGGCCCTGGATTCAACACACAATATCCCCATCACACAAAGAAAAACACAAATGCTCAGTCAGGTACCATTCACCTCAAGCTCCAGTGCATGAGGCCTGCCAGCTAGCTTTTACAGAGCATTTCCTGTTCTTCCCTCTGTAGGAGTTTGCCACACAGGAAGCTCAAATCCACCAGGTGTGGTGGTGCACACCTGTAATCCCAGTACTTGGGAGGCTGAGGCAGGATTACTTTTGAGTTCGAGGTCAGCATGGGCTACACAGTGAGGTCAAGGCCAGCCTGAACTGCACAGTGAAACCCTGTCTCAACAAAATTAAAACAAAGCAGCAGCACAAATCATACTGGCCAAGGACATCTGTGACCCAGGCCAACAGGGATGTATGATACCCAAGCGTGGTGGCACACACCTGTAATCCCAGCACTCAGGAGGCTGAGGCAGAGGGTTGCTATGAGTTCAAGGCCAGCCTGAACTACATAATGAGACCATTTCTGAAACAACAAAAAAGGTCTGCGTGAATGAACCATGGGCTAAGAAGTCAGAGAAGAGGTCCCTGAGCCTCTTGGGTCCCGACGACTATTCCTCTTGGAACGCCCATCGTTCTGAGGATCACTTCTTTGCCACTGAGTTTGTTAAGACTAGACTGGCTTAACTCCTGAGGTATCAAAGACCAGGGTTTACTTTCTGGTTCTAGTCCATATAGCAGTGCTCTGTAACTGGGTAAGAAAGCTCAGCCTGCACTTTTGTGGCAGATGTTTTATTTATAAGGAATTAAAATTTCAGCATATACATGGCACAAACATTATATATAATATGCTTTCCGTGATAGAAGGTACACCTGTGAAGAAGGGGCAATAAAACAGCCTTTTTAGTTCTGGTTTAAATAATATCTGGATGCATTCAAATAATACTGGGCATTTAATGTCTAAAAAGCTTTTAATAAACAAGTTCAGAGTAAAATCAGTTGAAATATGTATATATGATTTAACTGTTACACAGCATTTTCAATATACAACAAGATGATGCACGACACCTGAAAGGAAGGAAAAGAGAATCTATTGCACCCACAGTGAAAAGGCTTTATTTGTTTTGGGGACACTGCAATTCAGTATTTATATAAACATTTACACACTTTAGTAAACACAGTCTTACATGTAATGCAGCATTATGGGGTGAAAAGACCCTTCAAAGTCTCAAAAGGAACATCAAGAGCCCACATGATGTTCCACGTGCACAGGCTGATTCCCACTGTTACTCCATCACTCTGATCGCAGCGGTCAGGATCCTCCTTCCTCCCTGCCGAGGACGCGTGCTTCTCAACGGATCCAGCAGCCACTTCTCACCTGAACAGCGTCGTGTGGCTTCAGGATGGCTCGCTCCGCCTCAGTGCCCTGTTAAATAATCTTGCGTGGAATCGGAAGCAAACGAGTCCACGTCCTCATTGTCCGAGTCGTCGCTGCTGTCGTCGGCAGCCGGCTCTCCCGTGAGGGCGATGCGGGCATAGTCATCCGTGTCTATGGATTTGCAGAAGTGGATGGCATACTTCAGCTTCTCCTCCAGCACCTGCCTGCAGGAGTACCTGGGCAGCTTCAGCAGGAAGAAGCAGGTGTAGGACTCAGGAAGGAAGTGGTCAGGAGGGTTGTATTTATCTAACACCTATTGCCAGAAACATGAGATCATCAGAGACTACGTACAAGAACAGGTAAAACTGCAAATCTATTTCACTGTGTTCATCAGACTTGCTTTTCAGAAAAATCTTATTTTTGGCTATGAATAACAAAACATCAGAACACAGATTCTAGCCAATTTTAGAAATAAAAAAGAGTAACTGATTCCTAGGACTTACCTGTTGTGAAAAACAGCAATTGCTGACATTATTTTCTAGTCAGTCCTATGAAGGGGTCCAGCGGGAGGGCAGCACCAGCGCCCCCCCAGCACAGGAGGAGTCCCGCCCGGCCGGCTGGCTCTGGCCTGGAGTGGGACTCAGCTGGAACCTGAGCCCATGACAAAGCTCCCAGGAGCCCACCTGCCCATGTTTGGGCACTCCAGAGTAAGGTATGAGGAGGCAGCAAGAATTATGGGTAAAATCGAGCAACTACTACTGTTTGAGCAGAAAACTACATGTGCTCTCAGAGATGCTCCTGAAAGACCACTCCTGGCCAGGGGTGCAGCCAGCCTGTGCCGGCGAACATGTGTAAGGGTACCAGGAAAGTGGGTCCTCTGCTTGGTCCAGCCTCCCACTCTATACTGCTGCCAGGGCCTCAGGCAGAGAGGGCAGTGTTAATCCTTTCCTTCTCAGTGGCTGCAAGGTAAACTGGACTTGTTTCTGACCACCGGACCACTGAGTAGGACCCAATGTAGAAACTTGTTTTCAACTTGATGAGCAGCCTCATTTTTCTGTTAGTAACATACTTAGTGATTAAGCTGATGCAACCAGAGCATCAAACCAACGCTCGATATAATGTGTGCATTCAAATCCTAGAATATGCTGACATAACAGCAGTATGGCTGGACGTGGTGGCACACACCTGTAATCCCAGCACTTGGAAGGCTGAAGCAGGAGGATTACCACAAGTGCAAGGCCTGCCCAGGCTACAAGGGGAGTTCAAGAACAGCCTGAACTATACAGTGAGACCCTAACTCTGTGCTCTGGTGAAAGATCAAAATCCAAGATCTATGATGAAATCTGAGCCTTCAAGTCAGAGAAGTTGGATGTTTTCCACTTTCATTTCCATAAAGAAACAAGAGACTTGCTTTCAATCTACTGCACGGTCATGTGCAAGGGGCACACTACCTCAGTTGCTGTCAGCCCATGCCCCCATAGGCCCAGGGAAGAGCCCACCTGGATGACGAAGTCTCTGCCCCGGAAGTCAGCGATGGTCCGGGGCAACCGAGTCCGGCCCCACACAAAGCGAAGGAAGAGGGAACGCTCTGTGTTGGAGAAAGACTCCATCACCTCCCAGAACCACTGGATCAGGGACGCGGAAGGCTCCACCCCTTTGTACGTAGCCACCGACTTTAAGAGATGCAGGGGGATGTCTGGGCTGCCACACACCTGCAGAAAGACACTCCCATCAGGACTGGCTGGCGCCTCTGGCACTTGTTATTTTCTAAGAGTTGACCCTGTTTTTCTCTATGAAGGGCTGTTCGCAGTTGAGAGAAGGCCCCAGGGAAGGCCCCGGGTGGACACAAACACAGTCCTGAACTAGAAGCTCATGTACCCTGAGCAGGAAAGGACACACACTTACTGTGACTTCATTTAACACCATGGACACCTTACACCTTGAAATGCAAGGATTTCACTAAGAAATTAACTAGTGATCCTGATAAATGTGCCACTATACGAAAGGCATTTGACGGGCAGCTTTACAGAAGATAGCATACCATCGTCTCCAGTTCGTATCCAGTGAACAAAGAAAGAAGGGGGACTGGCACCACGCGGGCCATCCCCTCCCGAACAGCAGCCACCTGCTCATCAAATTCGTGGAGCCTGAAAGAAAAAGCTTGCGTTACCCTTCTATCTTTAGTGGCGCTGACTGCTCTGCTAACACCATGCCTACCCTGCCACACCGCTGCCTCCTGCATCACCGCTGGGAACAAGCTGAGAGCAGTGCCTTCAGGTAACAAAGGTGCGCACTTGTAGCCCTGGCACAAGTGAGCTCCTCATGACTCTGAGTTCATCTAGATTATGGCACACAATGTAACTTCAGTGACCGAGGACTGCTGCACACACTCCCAGACACCATTCTCAACATCTGCAGGGAACCCAGCAAGGAGTCAGAATGCGACTCTGCAGGATCAAGGAGGGTGAGAAGCCCACCTATGGCCCCAGGCCCGGCCCCAGGCCCTGTGCACCCTCAGGGCAGACACTGTTCCTGGCACTTGTGACTAAAACGAGGCTCCGAGGCAGACAGAACACCTGCCAGGACCACCCCCAACCACAGCCCAGCCAGTGAAGCCACCAGGAATGCAGGCCCTGGACAAGCCACCTTGCAAGCCTCCGACAGCACCACTGAGCAGCAGGAGCAGCAGCATCAACTGGCCACGTCCCACCTGAGGGGCACAGTGAAGGCATGCGCTGACACACACTCACCCCGTCCTTACAGCACTGAACAAGCAAGCAGAGGGACACCCCGCTCCCGCAGGGCAGTCTGCTAACACAGCGTGCTTGCTTCAGTCTCCCACTGTCAGCCAGAATACTTCAACTAGAATAACTTTACTTTGACTCCTGCTTATTTTGTGACCACAATCAGCAGAAGGTAAAGGCAAATCCGTTAGCGTTTTTGCTATATATGACACTTCTTATAGAATGGAGATATCCAAGCATCTATTTTCTGCAATGTCTGCTATTTAGTAAATCAAAGCAATCAAGGAGATGACCACAAACCTATAGTTTATTGCCAGCCGGACATACTCTGCGCGGTTGTCCAGGGTGATGTGTGTGTACTTAGAGCTCAGCTGGATGTCCTGGCCGCTGGCACTTGGCACTGTGAAGGGCAGGCTCATGGCCTCAAACTCCTCTGAGGTGGCTTCATTGTCACGGATGTACATGAGCCCAGGGATGAAATCTTTATCCACCTTCAAGGAGAAAGAATTCGTGTGCTGAATGCAGGTTTTCCTGTATCGCAGACCACAGGCCGCCCCAAACCCAGCCAAGCATGGTGGGCACTGGCCTGCCTCGGGTACGCCTGGAGGATGCAAGCGTGTGGCACACAAGGAGAAACAAAAGCAAGCTACAAAACGCCCTTCTCAAGGAGATGAGGAAGTAACTCGCAGTTCAACAGAGCTCTTAAAACTAAGCGTAATTCACTCGAACTCTCCCACTTGTCCCCAAAGCTGCCTGTCATCTGTTTCTCCTTCCCCATCTTCAAATACATTGTCTTCTTTTATTAAAAAAATAAAGATAATAGTAATAACAGCAACTGCCTGATGACAACCCTCCTGAAGCCATTCATGAGCAGCACGACAGCCACACGGAGGGCCTGGCTGTGGCCGCCGCGTCAGGTCCTGCTCTGTGAGCCTGAGGTGTGCGTGGTCAGCACAGGCTGAGCTCTGCACAGGAAGCTGAGTGACCCTCCTCGGCTGATGAGCCACGCCAGCCACAGAGCGCCACACAGGTGTCTACCGCCTTCTGGACGTTCTCTGTAACTGGAAAGTGGCTGGCTGTGAGTCCGCTGGACACCCAGAAGACTTGCCCCTAGCAAGACTGCAGTTCCCCCACCGCCCAGGCTGTCACCTCGCTGAGGTCTGCGATGGTGAGGCTCATCCCAGCCAGCTGCTTCCACACCGGTTCAGCAAGGTTGAGGCTCAGAGGGCTCCCGGTTCGGATGGCGATGCCCAGCAACACTCCTGATCATGAAAACGTAAGAGACAGAAGATACTTGCCGTGGATGGCAGTGGGCTTCTCGTTCACTCGAACAGGCCACGGAGCACCTGCTCTGCATTGAGGCCCCCGTGCCTTTTAAACCAACATCACCCCAACTCAGCGGCCTAAGTCCACCCCTAAAACACGGTGCCCTCTTCTAAATTCATAATTTACTTTGCTTCCCACTAATTCCTCATGGTCCTTCCACATGTAAGATTAAGTACAATAAAGTGATTCTCATTCCTCTGAAGGCCAAGGAGAGCTGGAGCTTCTCCAAGAAGGTGGGTGCTCTGCCGGGGAGAAACCATGGGCCACCAGAGACAGGAGTCCTCTAAACAGACTCACACAGAACAGAGAGACCAGGGAACCAGCCCATTGCCAAGACCACCCGGGGCTCACCCGATTCTGAGCTTCAGATACATTTAGAATGCACAGATACAGTATTTCTGATCTTCTGAGTGCCAGAAGAAGCCTCCAGTGTGACTGGAAGTCCTGCCAGGCCTGTGCATCCTCGCAGCTGCGTGTGAGTGCCACGCTCCTGAAGGCTCACCGTTACAAAGCCCTAAAGTGAGGCAGGCTCAACACCACCTCCTCACTTCCACAATATCAGGGAGTCACAAGGCGATTATGAGAAAACATTCAGAGAGCAGACAGCAAGAAGGCCCACCCAGAAAGCGGAACATGCTGCTGTGCACGAGCGCCTTGGCGGCCGGGTTGAAGAGGTAGCAGTCACGGTTGGCCCCGGACTCGTCCCTCCCATTGGGGGTCACGATGAGAAGAGGGGTGAGTCCGTTCTGTAGCTCCTCACAGATCTCTGCTATGGACTCGCTGTAGCCACCTCCACAGTCATCCACAGACTCGCCTGGAGGGAGGACACAGTGTGTGTAGGCCACCACCAAGGCCAGCGCCTGCCCCGCTGCTCATGTGCCCTCTGCCTGGGGTCTGCCTTCCTGGCAGCTGCAGGCTCTCCCAAATACGACAGGTTCTCACCCACAAACTTGACCTTCCAGACGCGGTGAGGGAGGAGGAGGCTGTCAGGACTAAAGGAGCTCATTTTGGCGCACATCTGCCCAAAGACGGACTTCGTGCCGTCAGGGCCGGCCAACCCGCCTTTACTTCTTGAGCGCTTGACCTGGACAGGAGGGAAGAGAACAAGTGGCTGCTGCAGCGCGAGCCCACAGGGGGACGCACCTGCGGAGAAGGACGCCAGCTCCTCAAGCCGCGCGCTCACCCCCACTGGCTGCCAGGTGCCCCCGCACTCTCTGCGTCTGTAGGATGCGAATGATTCCCACATGTAGAGCAGCGTAAGCAGAGCCACAGGCAATGGTACACACCCCTCATGCGGACACATCTCTGTGAGCACCAGTGGAGACAGAGGACTCAGCCATCTAACCCAGCGCCTCATTCCCTCCGAGCCTTCGTCCGGCTCCACAGCTGACTCTCCTCCCTCTCCCATGCCACGAGCCTCGAAGGACCTGAGGTATCCTTCACATCTTACTCAGGCGCCAGCAAGTGTGTGGGGAGGCCGTGTGCAGAGGCCCGACGTGGGTGCTGCCCAGACACCAGTGACCACGGCCCCTCGCCTCACTCAGCACAGCACACCCAGGACTGGTGGTGTCTACACACGCCTCCCAACAGTGACCCCAGGGACCACACTGTACACACAGGGCAAGGGAGGCCCGCGCCTCCACCAGCGACCCCCACCTCCCGGCCACAGCCCCCACGGAGCTCCAGAAGCAGCCTCTTCCTGTGGGCTGGGGTGGGCTCAGTGCTCAGATTCAGACAGAATATGCTCTCAGCCAGGACAGTCGTCCTCTCTTACTCGTCAGCTGTGCCAGCTCTGGGCCGTGGCAGCTCTCCCACACGCACGTCCACCTTCTGTGTTCACAGCTCTCCCCCTAAGACTTGGACTGAGCCAGTGTGGACTCGGCTCTTCCTACAGTGCTCAGCCCTGGCTGTGCTTCAGAACCACCTGGGAAGCTTAGTCTAAGAGGATGACACACGAAAAGCTGAAGAAAAAATAGTATTTTTATATTGACTTTTCCTGTGAAGCCCTCACCACCTTAAACTTATTTTAAGTGAGTTCTAGGTTGAGTTTAAACAGTCTAAATTCTCCTTACAGCATAAGGATCACAGTCAAGACTAAAAATATAAGAATGACAAAAACTCAGACGAATTCTAGCTCTTAGGAGGCTGAGGGCAGGAGGATTTCAAATTCAAGGCCAGCCCAGGCTATTCAGTGAGACCCTGTCTCCAAATACCAATTTAAAAAGGGCCAGGGACATATCTGTTGGTAAGGGGCTTGCCAACATGTACAAGGCTGTGGGTTCAAGGCCCTATGTTAAAAAAAAATAGTTTCCTAGAAAAAGAACTTTCCTCTGAAGCACACCCTGAGCTGTCTCCTCTTCATCGCTACCTGCTCTTTAAGCCACGCATCACTCCCAGGAGACTGAGCTACAGAAAGCGAAAGGAGTGTGTCCAGGTGTCACAGCTTCCTGCTCAACCACTGTGCTTCTCCCCTGTTGGCGGAACCAACTCGCAGAGGGCACCTAACCTTGGTTTCTCCCAGAACAACAGCCACGGGACACACGGCTTCCACACTAGGAGAAAAGCCTGCTCTGCTCAACCAGTGGAGACGCCACGCTGCTGCTCCAGCTCAGCGCCAGTAGCCTGTGTTCACCTTGGACTCACTGCAAGCTTCCCTCATGCTCTTCTTTTAGTCAAAGGTGCTTCTATTTCTACATTTGGAGACCCCCTGGTTTCAGGAGAGGCCACCACCCTGAGCTGCGGCTGCCTGGCTGTGGTGCCCTGAGCTACAGCAGCCCTCGCGGTCAGTCCACATCCACACCGCCTGCCTCTGCAAAGCCCGGCGGAATCTGCCATTTATCCAGCGTGCTCTTCCAAACATGCAGTGCACATTGTTGTAACACAAGGCTGGGGATGTGAAGACAAGAAGGAAAGGAGGACTCATGAAAACAAGACGAGAGAAACACAGAAGCACGTGCCCAGCCTGGAGAGACAGTCGAGGCTTCATGATGCCTTCCAGCCTTGGAGCCCAAGTGCGTGCCCAGGCCCCGCCTGAGGAGCGTGTGTCTGCTGAGGCCAGCACTGGCCCAGGAATGCTCCAGTGTTCACACTAGATGATGCGTTACTCACTGGCTTTCCTTAACTTCTAAAGTTTACAAATGATCATCCAAGGTGGGGAAATAAAAGCTTTTTTATGAACATAATTAAACCACCCATTTATCTGTGGAACTGGCTGACTCTGATAATCTATTACTCTGACGTTAGTGGAGAGACCAGTTCTACCAATGTGGTCACATGCGCTATCCAACAAAGGACAAGAGTTTGATGTCTTAATTCAAAATGCCCTCCAGTGTAACTCTGAAAAAAATTTCTAGTCATGGAAGCAACATCAGGGTAAAAATCATGTGTTAATAAAAAGATTCAGAAACAAAGGATTTGTTCTTCGTGGCTCTGTTTCCGATCCAAAGCCAGTTTCATTTGTGCATTAAATGTCAAATGCCACCCACTATCACCATCAGTCACTGGGATTCCTCTTTATTTTTAACGTATTTTTTACACTGTAGGTCTCCATATACATGGCAGCAGTACAGATTCAGAAGTGCCCTACTTCTCCTTGCTTCTGAGACAGCCCTGGTGATTCTGGCCTATGCAAACCCGAGAGCAAGGGAGAGTGGGAGCCCCGCAGGCATGTGAACTGTCACAGTCTGTAACTGACTATGCACCGAAGGCTGTGGCCACTCACTTGTCTGAACTTAAAGTGGTGACTGGAGATGCCCGGTACAGCCCTACCTGTATCAGAGAAAGGGGGCAGTCTTCTAGCCCCACTGGAAGGCTCCCCCAGAGGAAGCTCGGCACAGCCCTCAGCAAGAGAGCAGCAGACAGCTGTGAAACACAGGGGACCTCACAGAATCTGAGAGTACAGCACAGGAGATGGGGTGCACGAAGTGGACATAAAGCACGTTCCAAAGAGTAATCCAGCTCTGCTTGTAACAAACGTCCATCCCTCCACACACACAAATGGCACGGGAGCAGTTACCGCATGCAGTGGGAACAGGGCTGATATCTGCTCTTCCCTTTTTTGCTTCTCTACATTTATGCTTTTGGGTTATCTGAAAGGAGTCATTCTCCTGACATAAAGAAGAGCATTTACATTCCTATCAGGAAGCCTCAGCATCACAGAACCACATGCACAGGAAGTGCCACCGAGGAAGGCAGCGCTTGCTGTGTGAAGTCCGGGCACAAGGAGGGGGACTTTGGGCACTCTCTTCCTCCGCACCACCAAAGCACCACTTCAGACACGGTCGCACTGGGCGAGCAGCTTCACACATTACCTGGATTCGGTTCAACTCCACGACAGGCCCATGCTGACGATCTCGCACCATAGTTGCTTGCACTACTTTTCTGAAAGCTGCCTCCTAAAATGTGTCCAACAGATAAAATTTAGAATCTGATCAAGAAAGCATCAACCAACAAAGAAATCGTGTCACTGTTTTAACTTCTCCAGTTCTTCAAAGTCAGACTGCAGAAGAGAAGGCTCACGGCCGTCTCCCAGGTGGTGAGGCCACAGAGGAGCAGCCCAGCACTGCTGTGCACGGGCCGAGGCATGGCCCCGGGGAGAGCTAGACAAGGCACAGACAGGGCCGGGGCCTGTGCGCACCTCTCTGGCTCAGGGCTACAAGGCCAGGTTCCCCGCCAAATCACAGGTCCACTAACCACGCCACAAAGCAGCAATGGGTCAAGGAGTCCGTGGGTCTGGCCAGACCAGAGAGAGAACGTGCTGCATCCACACACTGCGACACTGTGTGCCCATAGTAAAGGTAGACAGCACTCAGGCGCAGGCACTCCACCACCGGGAGGGAGAGGATCGCAGGGGCACCCAAGGAGAAAGGTTCCTGTCCACATTTCCTCCTGCTCCCACCAACAGAGAAAGGCTCTCATCCTCAAACAGAACCCTCAGCACTACGGCACCCTCAGGCGCACATCCAAGACACTTATACCCGTCTTGTTCAACACAAACTGTTCTAGCCAAATGGAAATAAAGCCAATCCTAAAAAAACACCCGTCTGGACAGGACTCCACATCATTTAAACTTCACTACAGCATTAAGAACAGATCATATTCTTTGACAAAAAATGTATCAGAGTCACAGACTCTTTAGGATTAGAGAGATCCTCAATGCACCTTCTACACTTTTTCTCCTACACAAAGATCCCTCTGCTATGAATCATTTCATCAAGTTCCTTGACAAGATACATGACAACTTCCAATATTGGGGACCCTGTGACTTCCGTCAGGATTCCATTTCTAGAAAGATCTAATTATTACAAATGTCAATGGGTCAAGACCTGCCTGTGACTTTCAGATTCTCATCCTAATTCTCCCCTTGCCCTCAGTTATAATTGTTGCTGGGCAAGGATTCCACCTCATACACCCTGGCAGGGTTTCTGTCTAAGCCATCTGTAACTCTTGGTACCCTCTGCTGGGCAGCCCTGGAGAAGCAATCACCGGAGTCAGTGTGGGACTTGCCATGAAGCCTGGAGGGCAGGCAGAGAGCTAGTGATGAGCAAAGCCTCCATCCATCCTTTTGGGGTGGTGGGACAAAAAGATTACCAGGAAAGAATGTAGCACCATACTATTCATTTTTAATATAAACTCCAAAAAGGAAGACATGGCCGTCTGATTTTTCATATATATAGTCTAAGTACTCAGGCTAGCACAGTCAACAGGCAATGAATACTTGCTAAGAGAGATGGATTAGTCTACATCTCAGGATCGCTTATGTAAAGATTTCTACAAAAATACCTTTCCCTGGGAAATCAGAATCCCCCGAAGAGTGTCAAACCCAACAGAAGGTCCAAGTCCAGTTTCGTCGAGAGAGCCCTCCAGGTCAAACATGGGAATACAGGGGCAGAAGAGCTCTGAGATGTGATGTAGCAGCAGCAGCCGGTTCCTCAGGGCAATTATAGGGATTTCTTGCAAATGATTATACTCCATGGGAACCTGAAACATTTAAACTATGCTCTGTCAACTGAGCTATCAAGTACCCAGAAAAGCCACAGTTTTTAAACAGATTCTACAGGAAGAAAAAAAAAAAAAACAAAAAAAAACCTCTCCCCCAGAACAGAAGCACTAAAATTTCTGTGTTTGGTTTGCAAAGCTTGTTTTGAATAACACTCTGGAGAGTTTGAATGAGCCACGTAATATAAAACAAGATGAACAACAGAAGTAATAGTTAACAGAAATATATTTACTAAGAAACATGTAAGCCAGGCATGTGGCATACGAGTAATCCCAACAGTGTGAGAGGCTGAGGCAACAGGATCACAAGTTTGAGCCCCACCCTGGGCAATTCAGTGACATGTGTGATCCTGTCTCACAATAAAAAAGGGCACGGGATGCAGCTCGGTACAAAGGCCTGAGTTAAACAAAGAAACAAAAAACCCAACTCATATGAGACACGTACTACAAAATAAATTTCTGTAGTTTATGAGATGAGAAAGTGACACATGGACACACATATGATGCTGACACACATATGATGCCAGCATCAGTACTGAAGTGTTAAAGGCACGTTTATGCTATGAGCCTGAACATATAAAAGTAAGCATGTGTGGCTGCACGTGCATGCAATACGCAGGGCCTAACTCTGTCACCAAGCACTCCTTCCTCACCATCCACTCCACCAGGACTCACCTGTGCAGGGAGCTTGCCAGCACTGGCAGGCTTGCTGGTCGACCAGGCAAGGGTATGTGCAGAACCACAGGCCACACGGTTGACTTTCTTACCCTGCAGAGTGGCTACCAAGCGAGGCCTCTGGATGGCATTTGTTGTTCCATCTCCTAGCTGTCCCTCATCATTGTCACCCCACGTATAAACCTCACCTAAATGGAGGAAATGCAAAAAAAAAGAAAGAACGAAAACTGGATACAGGACCAGTGAGCCCACAAGTGCCAGTGTCTTCCTGTCAGTGTCGCCGTTCACTGCCCTTCTACTCAGTGCTGGCAATCACCTCCCTCAATACCAGCTTCACGCGTGGTCTGGCTGCGAACACAACTTACCACACACCAGAAGAGCACAGTACATCTTCTGGGATCGCACAGCCCTAGCCAGCCAATATGTTTTCTCTGGATGGCCAGGAAAGGCACAAGACTTCAGTAATTCTCTATAAGAAGTAACATCAGTGTAATATCCCCAACAACCCAACTTGTTCTTGCATATTGAACCGGACGGAAAGTCAGTCCTCAAAGAACCAACTCCAGTGTTTAACATACATGTAATTCTTTATACATATTTACTCTTTACGTTTATTTCTATGTCTATAGAGGTCCTATTCACAGTAGCACCCCCAGTCTCAGGTCAGAGCATAGGCGTCATCCCAGGTTTCCCTTGCCACACTGATGACTCCTTTCCTTCTTGGCACACCTGGATCCTACTACCCCGTTCTCCCTCACACGACGGTTAGCCGCTTCTATGCGTAACCAGGGCCCCATCACTGTTCCCTTTCTCCTCTCCCCTGTACTACAGCCACACAGCGCTGAGCTGACCCCACTGGGCTACAGCGGGTGTGGGGATACCCTCACTCTCAAACTCAGTAACTCCTTCGGCTGTGCTCACCTCTGCAGAGAGAACCCCCTCGATTTGTTCGTGGTGGGTGCCTACTCAATGGCTTTAGGCCTGAGCTACTGAGTAAGTAAGCACACTGCTCGTGATTACAGGGACTCAAGCATTACAGAGCTGTGCTTGCTGGCTGCAAGGCACTCTGGGGAGGCTAAGGACCTGATGAGACTCATCAGTGGGCGGCTCCAGAGGACACGAATCTCTTCTCTACCCTAATCAGCAGTGACTCAACCTTATAATACTTTTATAGTAGGTTCCAGTGTGAAAAAAGTATGATGATCCTGGTGAACAGCAAATCTGGTGTCTACAAGATGAATAACTACACAAAGAACATACATACACATTCCCTGATTCTAAGCAATGAAGTCTAGGGCACAGGGACCCCAACAGCAATGAGACATTATCACCTGGGGTTTGTCCTCTAACTTTCTCCTTTAAAGACACCAGTCCTCCTTAGGAAAATGGCTAATTCTAGGCTTGAGGCACAGAGAGAACAGAAGCAGAGATCACCCTGAGTGCCAAAGGAAAGGAGTACTCACTGCCAGAGACGGAGCAAAAGGAAATCAAGCTAGCCAAAGGCCTTTAACACTTCAGTACTGATGCTAGTCAGCATCATCTGTGCATCCATGTGTCACCTTCTCATCTCATATACTACACAAATTTGTTTTGTAGTACATGTCTCACATGAGTTGGGGTTTTGTTTCTTTGATGCTTTCAAGCATCAAAGTAAGCAGTGGAGAGTTAAGTACAGCCTGTTGCATGCACTAGGGAACCATGAACCCACTCATAGGTGAACGGATGAGAAAAGTCACTTAGATACGTTCAGAATGCTCTTCCCACACAGCAATTACAAAAGCTGTACGCAGTGGCAAAGCCTGAAGACACCACCTTAAGTGGCTGGAGTCCATGTTAGGAGTGCACCCAGGAAGAGGGAATGACTGTGAATGAGGAGGTTCAGGCTGACAAAGAGGGATCCTATTCAGCGGGGGGGATCTCTGAAAGAGGTGTTGGGAAATCTACACAGCACAGAGAATCAGAGGCAACACAGAAAAAGTGGTGAGCGACTTGCAGTGGCCCCCAGACACAGGTCGGAGCCCGACTCTGCAAGCTGCGGCGAAGGCAGGGGGCGCTGTCAGGTGCACCCCACAGTCCACCTCAGCAGAGAGCCGCACCTCACACACACTGGGGATCCGTTCAGGAGTTTGGCCCGGGAGCCACTCGCCCTGCAAGGCAAGCCAGCTCCAGGGAAGGAAGTCCACACAGTGCCAAGCAGTCTCTCAGACTGCAATGGCTGAGGGTCCTCACAAGGGGGTTCCCGCTGCTGGGGATGAACTGCTCTGGGAAGCAAAAGGCTTGGGACAGTTCAAACCCGGGCTCCCTGCGGCTCCCCACCACACTGGCACTGCACAGATCAGTGCTGGCTGGGCAAGGACTCTGACACAGGCTGTGGAGAAGAGTGGCAAGTCACCAGCTTGTCTCTGTAGGCCTGCCTGCTCCCCCCTACACGCTGAAGCATCCTGGGTACAAGCAGTGCTTCAATCTCCACCCCACTCCTGGATACACGACTTCCCTGGCATGGCACACGTAACACTGAGGCTTTACCGAGACAACTTGGATGTCTGCCACACCCTGCCACGTGGGCACATGGGAAGGCTCTGACTGAATGGTCCATCTAAGGCAGAAGTCGGCAGGTGGAGAGGCTCCCACCTGGACACTCACCACCTCTACCTGGCACAGGCTGAGGCCAACGCACTGAGTGTGCAGCTGGCCTGCACGCACACGGGAACCAGCACTATCAGTGAGTTGCAGGTGGACATTGCCACCTTCCTGGGCACACAGAGCATCTGGGGCAAAGAACACAGGCCAGGAAGAGGCCTCTACCCCAGCCCTTCAGCCACGAAGAAGCCTCTGACTGGTTTCTCCCCCTCTCGTTCTTGCTTTTTAGTTACCTACTCTATTTTTTACTTCATTATATTCTTAAAACTTCCACCAGGCACAGTGGCACATGACTGTGATCCAAGCACTCAAGAGGCTGAGGCAGGAGGATCACTGTGAGTCTGAGGCCAGCCTGCACTACATAATTGATTTCAAGGCCAGCCTGAACTGCACAGTCATACCCTGTCTCAAAAAACAAAATAAAACAAAACTTCCTTCACATTTTTTGTATCATACTTTAAAAGGACCTTTTCTCTCTTTTTTCTACGATCTTCTTTTTACTGTTATCATGATCCATTTTGCTTTTATTACTTCGTAACTTTTTAGGCTTATTCTACATTATTTGGATCCTTTGTAGCTCACTGACATAAAATTGTGGTATTTCTGACAGGACCGTCCCTATATTCCCTAACTGATTTATCATCAATCTATTGTTTACTATTTCTACTTTTCTATATTTTTCATTCTTTTTCTTCTTAAGTCTTTTTTCCTATACTATAATTCGATAGAACACCAACCTCCATTCCTCACCTTCCTTTTCCTCTTTTCTCAGCAATTATTTTACCTTGTTTTCTTTTTTTTTTGAGACAGTCTCACTATTTATTTAGTTCAATTTTACTAATTTCATGATCAATTTTACTAATTTTAACTGATTTACTAATTTTAACAGTCTAACACTTTGACCTCTTTCCTTCCTTCGTTAGTGCTATGATTATGGTAGTTCTTGAAGGATTGTTTCTGTGTTTTATCACCGTTTTACCTTTTGCTGTGGCTGTTCATGCTGTTCATCTCCTTCCCCTGAGCAGTCCCAGGGACCACGCCTAGCACAGTCAGTGGGTGGACTGCTGCAAACCTTTGCCTACAATCCCCTTGGGAACAAATGCATCTTACTCTAGCCACAACCTAGTCTAGCTCCAACTTTAGAGGGTACGTCAACCTAAGGAACAAAAAGATAAAAATCCACCAACCACACAGCCACCAGGCACTACTGAGGACAGCCTGGAGTGGTCCTGCTCCGCACACATCCCCACAGCAAGAGCAGAGAGAAACAATACATTGTTGTGGACACTGCAGCTATAAGGGCTTCAGGATACATAACTCCAGTACCTTTGCAGATAATACACTGATGACAAGACTGAAGGTGTAATCACAAGGACAGCACTCCACATACTTTACTGTCTATAACACACTTGCATGATTAGCAGAGGGACCCCCACCCTGCAAGTCACACAGCACACACTTTATCAAGTCCTAATCACAGGCAGAGAAGTCACAGGGCAATTACACTGCTAAGTCCAGACAGAATTAGTTAAAACACCTCTCAACAAATCAGTAGTCTAGGGCACAGCATCAAGAGAAGATGACTCCCCAAGGCCCTGCCCTAAGAGTGGCAGACATACGCATGCCAACAGATGCACAGATCTCAATGCAGAAATGTAAGAAACAATTAACAAGGTGATATAGTTCCTCCAAAAGACAACATGTCCACAGCAATGGTTTCCAATGACAAAATAGCAAACAATTCAAAGGGAACAATTATAAAACTGGTCAGTGAGGACCTCTGAGAAGATGGCGGAGCTCTCCAAGATTTGAAATGCGACACTGGAAAATAACAACTTGGGGAAAGAAAGGAGAGCAGTGGATCCCTGGAAACCAGGAGGGACCTAATGGGAAATTGGAGCCTACAGAGAAACTGAAGAGGCAAACCACAATACAGAAAAAGGGAGGGACAATCAGCACTTTTCTCCCTGGTTCCTGGCTCACAGTGTGAGAAAGGAAGATCGAATCTATAGACACAATGAAAGCGGCAACTCCAGAGTCCTCCAGGGAGAAATGCACCAGAGCAGGGAGTGTTGTACACTACAGCAGGCAGTGAGGGGCTCCAGTTCAAGCAACTGCTGTGCCCCTGGAAAGTACACTTGGTCAGGCACCGTTTTAGGGAGGGGCCAATTGAGCCTGGGGTTCAGAGAAGCTGCGGGTTGGCTTCATGTCAGGGTTCCCACAGTTAAACTACCACAGTGACAAGCATGGTGAGGAACCATCATAGCAGACGTCCACAGTTAGGGTGCTGTGGGCAGGCCAGCTAGAGAGCCCCAGAGTGTTATATGCTCAATGACTGAGGCCGCAAACTCGTGACCAGACATCAGGTGCAGCCTGAACTTCTGTGGGTTTGAAAGTCCCAAAAGCAACTCCCCACCGACCCTATCTCCAGCATGGGTCTGGGCTCGACTGCCTCCTTTGCCTGCCAGCAAGAGCAGTCACCCCTAAAATAAACACTGCCACCACTGCACACACGCCGAAAGAGAGCCATGCTAGAAACCACACAGAA